CACATCGGGAGGAGGAGGTGTCACCTCCGTCTCAGTCGTCGACGCTGCAGCATCAGTCCATGGGGATGAGGCTCTTGGTCTCCTTTTTTTTGTTTCCTCACTTTTTCTTTCTTCGTTTTGCTCTTTATTTGTGTTGTTTTCTTTTGATATATCGTTTATCCTTATTATTTTTTTGTTGTGGTTTGTTTTAATTTTTGTTTCTCTATTGTTTTTTTCTACTCTCTCTTTTTTATTTTCTGTTATGTTGCTTGTGTATTTTTGTGTTAAATTCCACATTTTTTTAATCTCCTCCTCATCTTCTGTCGTTATATTTCTACTTATATCTCTTTGTTTTTCGTCTGTTTTATATATTTGGTTTTGTATTTGTTTGTCCTCATAGTTTTGCGTCACCGATATCTTTTTTATAGATTTATTTTCCAACGTTTGTTTTTTATTGCATTTCTCCGGTCTTATTTTCCTCGTTGTGCCATTTTCTATTATGTTTTCTTTCGGCTGTAAAGGAACAAAGGTGGCGTAACTTGGTGTCCTAGTTAAATTTTGTGTTGGTTTTTTTCCTTGTGCTTCATACTGTACTCTTCCGTACAACATTCCGCTGGACCTGTTATATACACCTATTCGCCCTGCACTGGGTTCAAGTATAAGTGCGAAGTTATTGTTGTGTATCTTAAGTTGAATTGGTATGGCATTTCCATCAGGTGGCACAACTTTTCCGTTTATTACTTTCTTTGCTTTCGTCAATTTCCCACTTTTTGGATCCTCTACTAGCCAATCACCGTTGCGGGTATCAATTCTGACGGTTACATTTCTCCAAGTCACGACAGGACGTGTTTTGTTGAGCTTTAGTGGGAGTCCTGAAAAGACATTTGATCTCTGGATGGTTTTATTTTTGGCTCCGTCTAACAACAGCACTTCTCCATTCGTTAAGTTTACCACTGTGGTGGAAGCTGTCAGATCATCGAATGAAACGAAAGTGTCGCAGATCTTATACGCAGAACTGTTGTTAATATAAGCCCTGCCATTTCGCACCTCACTATTCATTAAAACTCTCCTTTGTTTGAGCTCATACAAGTGGATAGTCCCGGTTGTCAAATCAACAGCCGGCACGTAGAGACATCCATCACCACCTTCTTTGGATGGATCTATTGGTTTGGTAAAAACTGTGATATCCACGCCTTTTGTTTTGGATTCTGTAACTGCAATTATATCCGTCGTTTTTGGTGTATCGGAGCTTGTGACCTTGGAGCCATAACTCACTCTACCATAAATACGACCTGTAGCCTTCGTGTAGACACTGATTGTTCCCCAATTTGGCTCCAGAGTGAGGATGTATTTGCGATTCCTGATTTTTAGTGGAATTGATATAATTTCCCCAGAGGACATGAAAATGTTTCCATCCGCTTGTTTGACCGAACGCTCGAATTGGTCGGATCCTGGTAGCTTAATCATCCACATGCCATTCCATGTGTCCACCTGAACCGTCACATTTCTCCAGACCAAAATGGGTCGAATTCTGGGGTTTTTGTAAACTAAGGGGAATCCTACTGTAATATTTGAGTGCACTAGATCCATCTTATTCGACGTGTCCTGCAATCGCACACTCCCACTGCTGAGATCAACAACGACAGCTGTTTGGACATCCTCATCGAAGCTGACAAAATTTCTGCAAAGGTGCATAGCAGTTCCATTAGGAAAGTATGCGGTTCCATCCCTCACCCTGGAGTCTACTAAGATGTCATTTTCGAGAGGACTGAAGAGTCGTACTGTCCCGTCGGTCAAATCGATGATGGGAAAATAGGAACAACTGACTTGGGGAGAAGAATTAGTGGCAGAATTTACCTGGGCATATGGAAAAGGTGACTCATTTGATAGCAGTCCCACATACAACAGGAGAAAGACTAATTACATGTGCATAGAAAACCCTAACATTTAAAGCAGTAACATACAGATCCGTCATAACCCTTTTATTCCGCCAAAGTCTCCGAAATTAGGCATCAATATAAACTAAGTGGGCAATAAAACTTCAGTACACGCACCTTTTTTTTCAAAAATGCTCACCTCTCGAATGACAGTTGTTATGACATTTAGTAAAAAAAGGAGATGACATCAAAGGTTAAATCAAACACCGACCCCACGAAAACTTACCAGCACATTGCCGAAGTCCGGATCAAAGGTGTACAAGGATTCACCACTTTCTTCTCGAAACTTTTTTTGAAAAGTAAAAGAAAACGGCTATTAAATAAGGCTTGAAAAGGTATGAACGAACAAGTAAAAGTGGCCAGCGCATCACGTCATAACTGCGCTGAGTCGAGTGGCTTATGAAAGAAACAGTGTGAATAAAAATACCAAGTGGATTCAGCTTTTAACCCCAGTAAAGATTGTTGCTAAATGACTCTCCAAGTTGAATGTTCACTTGCTCCATTATAAAGGCATCTGCCTTTTTAAAGGTGATTTTTCTCGGTTTAGTAAAGCGTAAAGAAGGAAACTATTAAAGCGAGTATTTTAGAAACAACTTACTTCTGTAGTTTTGCATGGTGCAAGCAGTGCATCTGGTCCGGAGTGGAAAGTGAATTCCGTCAGAACACCCTAAATATAATGCGATTATTTCATGAAGAAACAAAAAGAGGGATTTTAATCTTTACTTACTATTAAACACAAGACTGAAATATATTGCTCTTGAAAGGAGTTAAAAACGATGCACATCAGTCAATTAATTTAGTAAAAGTATAAATTCGCTTCAGTGGTCAAAGTTATGCTTTCTTTAAAAAAACAATCTCAAACAATATAAATGAGCCAACCTGGAAATAGGCAGGATTAGATGGAAGTCCGTTGTTGAGAAGGAAAGCTGATGCTCCATCTCGAAACAACGGTCGGCCAAGCAGTTTGACGCCTCGCTCCTCATGGAACGGTGCTAGCTGTATTCGTGGACAGTTTGTGAAAAATTCCACCTAAAATGGGATTAGAGTGATTCCACGCTACTGAAGCTCATCAGTAGGAGAACCTTCGGTTCAAGCAATTGGGGCGGCATTATGGAGGCAATAACTGATTACCACTTTATGTATCATGTCGATTGGAGCAGTTAAGACATGAACTGTAGCCAGAGACATTCATTGTTAATCAAGTGCTCTGTCTCTGTAGTTCTAAAATCCATCTCCTACTTTTCTAGCTGACTTTGATTGCTTAAGATCATTTGTCATTGCCTCGCATAATGATCATTTATTGCTGAGAATATGTGGGAAGATTGGAGAAGACAACTAATGAAAAAATACGATGGATAAGGCTGAAAAGGCAGTGAATTGGTTGTCCTCCCCTGTCTAAAGTCGAAACTCTGACGATTAGATTCAGTGGTAGTACACGGCATAAAGTTTGAGCTTCCCATTGTAGAGATAAGAATTGAACTTTTTTCTGTTTCATTGTCTCACCGCTCTTGGCTGAGTGTCTGGGAGAGAATGTTTTTGCAGACTTTTGATAGATCTCAGCTGGAAACAACTCTTTCCAATCAGCAATTTCTGGTGGGCAATTACGTCTTTCATCTTATAAGCACACAGAGTTGTGACTTCTGCAGACAAATTGATCTCTTTTTAGATGCAAAATGAATATGCGGTAGCTGATGATACGTTTTTCCTTTTAGAATTAAAAAGGTTTCTTTCACTCCCTTCGTCGAGGTAAAAAGTACCTCTCGATTTTCGAGAAGTGATGGTCTTCTCCACGTGCTACATCTACCTTAGGAGGGGCGTTCTGCCACTTCTGCCTCACTCACCTCAAGAATCGTCAAATAACTGACCGGCATCAAAGAGTAGGCTTGGGAAGTAAAGTTAACGCCAAGGGCAAGAGAGCTCTCTGAATGTTTTTTTTTCAGAAATTTAGTTTATATAAAAAGAGGAACCTAAAAACCTTTTTCACATGGCATTTAACCAAAGGTTATACGTCTGATCAACTAAATCAAAAATTTTTTAGGTGGTGGTGGTAGGGTAGGAGGGGAAGACCGAAGGATACGAGCATGAACAAGGCAATCCAAAGATTTGTTTGGGTTAACGCATCCTACACAAAGCCTAAAAATAGTCCAAACTGAATGTCATTAATCCCCTGGATCAAGTGATCTTCCGAGGTCGATGGCGCCAATCAATTGCCTCAAGCTGATGTCCGAATCGGTGCTTGTTAAGCAGGTAAAGTGGGCGCAGAAGAGTGGAAATGACTCGGAATCCATAAAGGCGTACACTCCACAACAGCTGCTACAGTCCAGCGTAGTGTGCATAGTGTAAATTTATTAATTGCCTAGCACGCAGTGGAGGAACACTCGTCTCCCATGTGTCGTCCATTTTTTTACACTAACACCAAAAAATGACTTTCACCACAATTAAATCAACGGAATGTATTTATCTATGATTGGTGAATTGTTTTTTGTCAGCATTTCACAAAACAAAAATGGCACAAAATGGAGGGAATGGATGCTGGTGAGAGGGGAAAATGAGGGTGGAAAAGACGGAGGATTAACGCGAGTCCTTCTGACAAGGAAGCAGGAATGGCAAGCCTTCTTGAGTCATAATACTACTATCATTTATGTAAGAAGTCCTGGGTACGACCCGATGAATCAGTAAATGTTGTGAGATTTTATTGATGGCATTCGGCTCCAGCACACAAAGCACACTTAATCAGAACTAGCTATCCATCTCCCCTCGAATCCCCCTTTCTTCCCCCCTCCGTCGACCACTGTCAGTGTGTTGCTAACCGTGACACACGAGCGCTGGCGTGTTCGGACATGTTTTTGTCGGTTACTTTAAGAAGGCGGCACATCTTGTTGTCAAAAACGCTGCAAAATTGACTTACGGAATTCGCCTTAATCATGACGCCTAGCCTCCAGTTGGTGGAAGATTGGGGAAATGGAAAATCAATTACTCGTTCACCTTCGTTGGAATCCAGAAGATTGTAACGCAGTTGAACCCCGTAAATTTGTCGCTTTTCATAAAAGAAGAAAGAGAAATGTGATAATGTAATTGCATCAAAATACATTTACAAAAAAAAACAGTCATTTGTCGAAAATTTGTCCAATTAATGCAAACACCTCTTCACACATTCCAATGTACTACTCTCCGTCCTTATGCATTTTCGTACAGAGGCGATGAGCACTTATTGTAAGCATTCACCTTGTACATGGAAAGGGAGAAACGCAAAATTCCGTCGGGATCACGAATAGTGAGGAAGTAGAATTCGGAGAGTGAGGAGTTGGGTTGAAAGTTAAGCTGCATGTAGAGTGAATCACTTGGGAGTTGCTTGTCACTGAAAAAGGTCTGAGCTGGCACCGAGTAGAGCTGTCCACTGGGTGGTGGAGTGATGTCCATTGGAAAGTTGAGGTCAGAGTTCATCGCCGTTAGGCCATAGTTGCGATTCAACAAGAAAGGAATGTCCCAATTCGGTCCTAATTTATAAACACCACGTTTTATTTCCCTTATACTCTTTTTTTTTCAAGAAAATAAAGATGCACCCTCCTTCACAAATAGGAAATGTATTTTTTTCTTGACATCTTTCAACACAAAAAAACGCCATTCCCAAAAAATTCTCAAATAAAATAGCCAAACTCTCAAAGAAAATTAATTCCCTTTGGGAAGAGCTGGAGCATTTTTGTGCTCTTCTGACCTCATTTGATTGGATCGAAAAGAATTTGACTTCGTTCCGTGAGAGGAAAACGCAATAGACAGTTCAGAGTTTTATGGTTGAAGTTATGCTCGTTAAAAGCGCCCTTCAAATTGGTGAATTTGATGCTCCTCTTTCAGCACTAGTAAATAACCCTCTAAATTCAAAGTAGCATCACTTTAGGGATTGGCATTGTTTGCTTTGCCATGAGCAAGCAAGCGTTGAGAAAGTCTGTTTTATCGTTGTGAGCCTCAAAACATGTGACATCAGGCAAAATGACTCCCTCATCATAGTTCGGAGGCGCAGTACACAGATGTGCGGTGCAGATAAATACACCCAACCAGGGACTGGATGAAGTCCTTTTTTCCCTTCAAAGCAATATCGGAGAAGGTAGGAGAGAGCAAGCGAGTGGGAGAGACTCAAAGGCATTTCCGTTTCCCTTCTCTCGATTTAGTCCATACCAGGGGTGTAGGAAGCTGCTCTGGAATTGCCTGCCCAACTAATACCACTTCCTGTGTCGAAATGTGCTAAGTTATTCACAAGAAGACATACTTTCTCTTGATAGCAGTAACAGGCTCCAAGTTTTTGTGTAATTTATGACATTTTGGTGTTAATAGCTCCTCCATAAATTGGCCGTACTTTTGACCTTTCAAAGGAGGATGCATTCAAACCTATCATATTTTTAGTCATACATAGGCAAAATCGGAAGGAAAAAAGTGGACCCTGCTTGGCTTCTCATAGCGGGAAGTTGTTTGTAAAAAGATGATTTGGGCTAAGGCAAAGCAGTTGCCTTTTTTCTCAAAGTGATTTTGAAGATTTGCGCCAAGAGTGCAGAGTAGTTAGTGCTTATAAAATAAACTCTTCAGGCTGTACTCCATGGATGTTCAAACCAACAATCGCCTTACCAATGGACTCTGTAGCTGATTGGCATTTAGGCACTGAAGAATTCAAAGGTGATAAAAAACTACTGTTTGCATGGTATTTACTTTATAATTGGGTTGAAGAAGTGGACGACAATAAAAGACAATGAAAAGTTGTTTGGAACTTCATTTTATGGTTCTCAAAGACCTTTTTTCCAAACGCTCATATTGGCAGAGAGATGGAATGCAATAGCCCGCAGCGTCCGGCGATGGTTCGCCGGGGATGTTAGTGGCTAAACAGCTGGATTTGCGTATACCCACTCCGCCGGTTAAAAGTTCCAAATTTAAAACGATTGCAATATTCTTTGGTAAAGGGAAAGCAAATGAGATCTACTTTTCATTTTCAAACGAAGCAAGTTACAGCCTTGTCTGTTTGCCCGGCTGCCAAAGGGGACCTGTCAAGTTTAGTCATGTCTTGATAGGTCTAGTATCACGGGGATTGCCCTCAATTAAATTTGAAGCACCGGTGAGAGATTGTTGAAGCAAGGTTTAGCCTAACCCCAACACTAGGAACCCTGCGGCAAGGATTGTACATCCAGTGCGGCCTCAATAATGGACTGGTGATCTGACCACAATTTATTGAGAGGATGGCAAACATCAAGGGATTTTCGGTTTTCGGCTAAATCACCAAAGTGGGTCATTGGTTCGCCACACAATCTTGGACCATATGAGAGGCAGTAGGAAGGGGTGCGCCTCACATTCACTGACCGCTGCTAAATGGCTTCGATATGTTCTAACATCTAATCCTTTTCACCGGATTTCCTACTTTTAGAAAAGTGATGTTTATTTTTCTGCATCCATTTCAGTCCTTTCTTAACTATGATTTGATCACATTAATTTGGAATAAAAGTTGACGGTTAAACAACCTTGAAGTCCATTAACTGACGAGATTGGAGTCAATCAAGCTCGCACCAATTTCTTAGTCAACCAAACTAGAAGAGCCCCACTAAGTTGTCTCTTAGAGGAAGAACAAAAGACTTTTGAGGAGGTGACAAAATGTCAACTTCTCAACTGATTTGTACTGAACTAACTCAAGTGCTTCAATGCGCAGCATGAAAGTGTTTGTCAGCAAAATTTTCAAATCTCGTTTGGAACAGGACAATAAGGTTTGGCATAAAAAGGAAACGCATGCAAGAAATTATAAACTAGATACAAGATGAGAGAGGTAGGTCACTCACGAGTTGTTGCTTTGACCAATGTGGAACAAATCAACGCAATATATATGAACATCCACTTTGAACGTTTCATAGCTGCAAGATTGAGCATGTAGAAAGGGATGAGCTGCTCGGATGAAAGCTGTTGCACCTTGAAAGGTACTGCGGCACCCCACTTGCGTGTGGCGTTGCGTATTTGGACCACTACCGGCCGGTCGAGCGAATTTAATGGGCGTCCAAAGCGGTGCTTATCGTTGATTGGCTCTCCAGTTGGCTCGCACGGTGCGTGCGTATGCGATGGAGTTTGATCTTGTGGGTTAAACGGTTACTCCCTTCGTCATTGGGTAGCGTTTCTCTCTGACTTTGGCTTTGTGTCATCCAACTAGAGGGATCGAACTGCTTGATTGTCAAAAGTGTACTAATAACGCCTTCATCGCATCTTTTTTTATTCGGACATCAATGCTGATCACCGAAGTCAAAGTCATGCCGTTGCCTGATCTGATCGCTCACTTACTAAATCCTTCATGGTATTTGCGAGTTTTCAGTGTTAACTGAGGGAGTGATAGATGTACACTTTCAGGATGAAATTACGAAATCTGTTGCCTTAGCTACCAATTTTAAGAAAGTTTTTAGAAGCAAAATCACCTACACTGTTAACTTTTCCAAAATAGTTCAAGAATAGCCCACCGCTTTCCCTGAAATACCGTCCGACTCACAGTTTTTCATCTTCCAATTCGACTAAATGAGCACCCGAAGTCTTTTATTAGATCATGTTTAGCATTGCAATTAAGCTGTGTGCAGTGTGAATCATCTCAAAAATGTTGCTAATAAGGGGAAAAGAGAGGGCTGAAGCAACTACCTAATTTCGGGCTGGTTCATAATACTCTAAAAATTGATGTCAGAAGCCTGAATGTTGCATTGAGGCTGATGAATACAATTTGGGTAAGCCTGAGAACTTGATTTTCGAAGTTTGACTTCGTGCTATAAGACTTTATAAAAGATGGTATAAGAAAAAGTAGTCTGTCCTCTCCTTTTTCCAGTCGCCCTGCAAGACGTAGGAGTTTAACGTACGATTTAACAGATTGGCTTTTCTCGACATTGAGACGGTAGCTGAAGGCTCCGAGGATTGAAGACAGCTTAGAGTTAAACTTCTAAATAAACAATCACTAGGCGCCAAAATAATATACTTTCTCAGATCTTGACACTGTTATTTTTACACAGCCTGATACAAAAGGCTAAATTGAGGGAGCAATAGTTTATGTCAAAATATAAAATTAGTAGAAGTGAATTTTGAAATTCTTTTGCGTAAAGTCCTTGTGTGGGGATAGTAAATTAACGTCAGTCCCTTTTGTTATTACTCGCTCTGACGTTATTTCACAAACAGCGTTAACGTAAAATTGACACCTTTATGCGTCAACTTGCAACTCTTTCGATATACAGCGAAGTGAAGACTGACATTTCTCCTCGTAGTGAGTGTCTTGCAGTTTCCTTTTTTTCTCCAGTCCTCGAATATCAGTCTCTCGGATTGGTAAGTAATGACACATAGGGGCGACTGGAAGGATTGTGCAAACTTCATTTAAATTACAACAAAATCTAAAATCACAAACTGGATGGTTCGTTGTTGGGGTGTGGAGACAATTGTCTCTATTTTGGGAATATGTGCTTGCGGCTTTATAACACTTCAAAGGCGTGCATCAAGTTCTTTTACCAAAGAACCTGCAACACACTTTCTTCCATTCCTTTGACCCTAATCAGTCTTGCATGACAAGTGAGTGGACACTGCGTGTCACACTCGTCACACGCATTGTGTTGTGAGTACAACGCTTAGATTGGGAGTGGTGTCACTACAAAAAAACCCAAGAAGAAGGCAACCCTTTTCTCCCATGAGCTTGAACAACTAAGTGCGAGTAAACAATTGTACTTTGACAGTCCTTTTAAATAATAAAATTAATTATTATGCAAAGTTTAAATGCATTTAAATTTGTGCAGTAAGTTACACTTCATTTGACGGCGGCTATGCGAATTGGGACTTTGGGAAAAGTTTTGCCTTTTAAGGGTAAGAGAGGGAAGATTTACTTCCTTTCTAAGCGTTCCCACTTTATTTTTCGCTTCTCTGATGCCAAAATCAGGCGGTTACTGTTGCTTCTTTTCATGCCAAACGTTAAGTACTTTCTCGAGCAAATTTCAGTTCCAACCTGTGGGAAAGGTTCTTTCGTCAAACGAATCGCATTTGAGGAAGGAGTATCCCACGTGCTTAGCCTACGACCTCTTTGAAGTCCACAACAAACATCCTCTGGTTAGATGATGCAGATCCCGGAACTGTGAATTGAGTGGCTCGCTGGAAGGAGTGAGGAAAGAGAAGTGATTAAGCACAAAGGACTTGACTGGAGGCGGCGTTATACCAATTATCATTACCTCTTCATACCTTCTCATTCAATAAGCTAATCAATTTGATAAATACTAGGTAGTAGTATTTACTCAGTTGTGCAGGGCACTTGTGGCAGGCGAGTCCTGCTGCTGTACACCGCACCATTCCGATTGGCTGATCGGTAGCTTTTAACTCTATTTGCTCCACCACCGTAGAGAAGAGAAGCCTGGCCACAGCGCACGGGCTTAACCGGCATTTGCTCGCGTAGGGGTGGATTTAAAAGAGGCGCATAAGAGAGCATGTCCGACCAACCTGGATGCTCTCCATGTTCGTACACGTTGAGGGGGGTAAGTGTAGAGAACTCCAACGAAGCCGACCATGTGGTACTGTACGCAAGCCTATTCATTCAAATGTCCACGAGAGAAGATCGGCACACTGACCAGATGCTGTTTTATGCTTGAAAGGAGCATGGAAAGCATATTCGACGCTTATTAGAAATAAATACTCACATACTAAGATGGAGCATGCTTTGGATGTTTATGTTAGTCGGTGAAAAGACAGATGAATGCCTTCGTAGCTGATGAAGACCGACAAGTGATGACATTAGACGTAAATAGTTGAGAGCACATTGATACTTAAAAGTTCTGCATGACAGTTTACTCTTGATCATGGGAAATGGTACTACAAACTTCTTTGGCCGGAGATTTATGGGTAATAATGCAAAAAGTTGGAAGAGGAACCCGGAACCCAAACTATCATAAATCTAGCGGGTGACAAATAACGAAGAGACGCTGTGACTCAAAAGTGGACTTATTATGTTTGCTTTGATTGCCGGCTTGGATGAGCGAAAGGTGGGAAGACGTTGATACCTCAAAAACCAAAAAACACTGCATCGGGGCTCCATAGGACCCAAGCGTCTGTTGATGCTCCTCCAAAAAATGGAAATCTGGGTAGTTATTGAACAGTTTTGCTCTTTCCAAAAAAGGAGGCCTCAGTCTTGTTGATGACCTGCAGGGGTTGTAGCGAGAAAAAAAACATGCCACTGTGCGTTGGTAGGATGGATTGGCAGTCTGACTCCTAGATATTGGAAATGGTGGTCAAGCTTTGAGAGGCATTGTGGTCTTGACTTCTCCGGTTCAGTTGGTTTAGTTTCCGGTTTTATGCATCCAAAGTCCACGATGGTTAATATGACGGCAAACACATGTTTTTGATAAAATCAGGACTACAGCCCTCATTTCTCCGACTGGTTGCCAACATACGTTTAACCGTAAGAAAACGAAGAAGTCCAATTCAACGATCCCATCGTAGTTGTCATTTGCCATTATTAATGAATGCGCATAGAGCTGGGGGAAGAGATTGACGTATGACTTTCTCATGAGGTGAGCAGACCACTTTCCCATATTCTTCCTGTTAATGAGGTGTAAGTTTGCAGGAAAGAAAGTTCTTCTCCACTGAACAATTCAGTTAAAGCGTTTCTCCGTACAAATCTCCCAATAGTGACGTAGGGGAACCAGTAGAATTCACCACTACTTAAAGTGGAGATTGATTAAAAATGGCTCTGAATGTAGGCACGCTTTTTACACGAATTTGCCGAAGGAAAATTTCATGTACAAATTACTAACGACATGAGATAAATATTTTAGATCAGGAAGGATGTAGAGCAAACATCTGGCCTCTTTGAACCATTGCGACGACCTCCCAGTAAACGCTGTGCAAGAAACAAAAAGAATTCTGCTAAAACGTTGACTTCATCACAATCACAATCATCACCCGCTGCCTTATCTCAGCCTAACATCAGTTGTCTCAAGGAAAAACGTCTAATCAAACGCTGGAAAACTACAGTCGGCACCGGCGAGACGTCCTATCTCAATAAACGTCCACTGAAGTAAACAATAAGCCATTTAAAGTGCTCACGGCCATTACGTTAATTGCTCGCCAATGAGAGGCGAATTCCACATCCATAAAACCAAAAGTTACTGATCTTAATGTCCATGTGGCCATTACCTTTCCATGCTATCGACGGTGCCAATGTCAACAATCATAATCATCTCTTTGCCTGCCAAAACTAGTAAACAATCTGCCTATCTACCTACTCGTCCCGCCCTCTTGCCACCATCCAACGTTGTAGACGGATTGTATAAACAAATCGAATTTTTATAGACCAAAAAAATGTCATGGAGTCTGACAGAAGTTGCGCCTGAAATCGTGGTTTTGACAGGCAATGACAATTTTAAGAACCTCGTTTGGCAATACAAGGGTGCAGACGTAAGCCCGAACAAGTACTTAGTATGAAAGGGCGTGGACGTGGAAATCATTCGAGCCATCCCCGAGCCCATCCACTGACAGTAATTGAAAAGAGAGTTGTGTCGCCGTCTGCATTACTGGCAAGTGACCTCGTCTAAACAGCTTGATGTGATAGGAGGAGCGCCAGAAAGCAAATGCCTTATGGACTGCGATCACAGACACTTGCGTCTTGAGTTGTCGAATATGAGCACGTAAAACAAAAACACGAACATTCTATTATTTCCTTGACAGGTAAAACACAGTCAAAACATGCCATAATCTTTTTTTCCAAGGCGAACTTCAAAATAACCTTAGTTTTTAAATTTTGAGGGCTAAAGGAATTGGGAAAATTTTTATCACTTCTAGTTTTGAGTATCCATTCACTGGTGTAGACTGTGGTGAGCTGTTAAACGAGAAAAACCCAAAATACCTCTTTTATTAGCTCGCTTTTTACAACTTTAAACGACTCTAAAAAAAATACAAATTGCACCCCAGACGTCGGACCTGCCATTGTCAATGTTTGTAGTTTCTTAAGGGGCGTGCAAAAGGGTGGCAGTGGTGGTCCCTGGCGGATCGCAGTCACATCCTCGTACACACCCATATTAAACAGTGAGCTTGGACGATGTGTTATCCCACTGCAACGCAAACATCCATTCATTAGTAAAAAAAATGTTTTTTTTTTAACTTCACTCATAACTTACAGCAGATAAGTTGATGCGCTAAAAATATGACGGTCCACCCAAATGGGCATCACTTCTTTCTGAACTGCCTCGCCACTTCGGACCTGATTTGCATACCATAGCAATTACCGACTCTACAATCCGAACACGTTTTCCATTTTTCCCTCCGCAATTTCAAGAGACAATAATAGGCAAACAAACTAGTTTGACATGCCATACTTTGGAAAAATTTTCTTAACCACTACTACCATCACCGCCACCACCACTAGAAAAGTAAAAGGTGCCGAACCATTCCTCGGTTAAGAGAGGGTGGATGTTGTACACGTCGCTGGACTGCCGTACTGATTTGACGCTCAGGAGAGAAGTGTGACACAATGAGTGGGTAATTTGAATCCAATTGTTAGCTAATCTCTTCGCCTCCACCTTCTCGCCATTTCCGCCAATTTTCACCTTCTTTATTGGTGCTTTTTGAAGGCAAATTTAATTGTACCCCGAATTCGTTGATCACCTTTGAAACGTGACTATCAGACAGCTTGATGTGTTGAGTGCCCTGATGATTTGACATTTTGTTTAACAGTTAGGCTAATTATGTGGACACTTCACCCCTCCTCTTGGATGGGACGAGTGGCTCCCCAAGCCTTCAGCACGGCAGCACAATCCAGGCAATGATTATAGAGACCAACAACTGCAAGCACACCGAAATTCATCACTTGTGACACAAACGCCTTCTCCGAATCAATTAACTTTTGCATACTCACTAAATTTTGCAGGGAAATTAAAATACATAAATAAATAAACAGCATTATAGATGTGGCGCTTTCAAACGCTGCCTCGCTATAGAGGAGACCAAAAAATGCACACCTTTATTAAGATTTATGGAAAGCTGGATGTCAATCCACCATCGAGGTGTCTCTTTTTGAGTCTCTTCACATTATCGCACCCTTCAGCAGTCCAATTTCGATTGAAACATGTGGATCAACGAGAATCGGGCAATAAAATCAAGAAGTTAACGAGCAGTAGATAAAGATGCAGCCTTTTATAACAATGTGCACCAACGAAGAAACTAACTAAATAGGCAATTTGTCTCTGACAATAAAATGCAAAAGTATAGGCTCTGTGGAAGTAGAGTGAATGGCAGTAAAAACATCTTAACACGCAGCAATCGGTTTCAGGGTCTCCCAGTTCCTTCCTCAGGTTATTAATTATCCTTCTAGTCTACACTTTCAAATCATTGCTGCATGCCCAAAAGATTTCGCCTTGGTGTTAACATCAACTAGGACTGTGACCTCTCCACACCAAGACTTCAGCAAATGCCAGTTGGAAGGAGGTCCGGTTCGTGGGAATGGAAGTGAATGCAATCTGCATTCCTTGATGGGTCAACAACACTTGCCATCATTAGCGCGCCAAATTCGTACCAGCTTTCATAAACACGCACACATAGAAATGGGTTGGTAGGAAATTCAAAGGTGACCGAGCTTTGGCACAGTGAATGCATGTAGCATTGGATAAAAGGTTGTGATGGCAAAGCAGGTACCCTTTTCTTGCCGTGCCCACATCCACCCACACCGTCTCCCGCACATAGTTATGTGGTCCACTTCTGCAAGCAGCTTTTGTTCGCCTTCCTTGCGCTTGCGTTTGCCCTTGAATGAGGTGTCTACCAACGCCTCCACAACTACAACAAATGAAATGATGATTCGACAACTATCGTTTGGCAAGCACTAAAGGCTTTTCCTTTATCCATTCATTTCACTCGCTGACTTTCCTCTAAAGACAATTAGAGACGCTAACGCAGGGAGGGCAATGAGTTAGAATTGTTGAAGCCTTCGGCAGTGAACAAGACCTGCAAAATTAATGAATAGCACGAAATTTTAGATTCCATTCCCTTTATTTTGAAAATTCTTTTCATCTTTATGCGTGACAAAAGACACTTAACACGGAAAATTTCGTTCAAATATTAACTGCCAATGGAGATGAGGGAACAATTTTGAACTTTCGTGCAGCTTTTTGCACGAATTTAAATTCACCCTTCGTGTTCTTGCAATAAAGAGGTGTCACGGGTTTGTTTTAGCTGCGCTGAAATAACTAGGCCATTGTTGCGTCACTGGTGAGTAATTTTCTCCAAGAAAAAACTTTGGTGTTGGTGAATCGTGAGGGCGTTTGTCAGGTTAAAAAAGGGTGTGAGTCAAACAAGAAGGTAAACATTCAACCATTAAATCATTTTGAAAAAAAAAGTAAGCACACAAAGAATTGGGTGTATGCAAAAAAATACCCTGAAACCACCATGGCGGGTTAAATTTCGTGTGTCCACGCCGTTAGACAGTTGCTAGCCAAGGCTTGGTGCGAGGTAAAGTGAGTCCAGATGTCGTCGGAAAGTTAGTTGCCTTTGTAAAATAAACGACTGCTTATGAGATTTTCTAGCTAAAATAGGAGGCGGGAAATGTTC